AGCTAAGAAAAGAAAACACTGAGGCCAAGATACTTACGTATGTATCTCATTCAGAGCACATACATAATATTGTTGAAGCCAGTGGGAGCTGAGTGATACTAGATATTGTATAATTCAATAAGAATTCATGCAGTTATATACCTATCAGTTAAACTTCTATTCTGTCGTTCCCTGGGGCGGGGCCAGCAGGCAGTGTGCTCTGGTCTCACCCCTGGGAAGCCCCCCGCCAAACTGCGCTGCTGCCTCTCTATCAGAGAGGTCGTGGGGTGCCAGGCAGGAGACCAATTTAAAAAACAGCTCCCCATGCAGATGGACTGCCTGCCGCCCCTCATTGCTGCCTCTGAAACTCTGGCAGCAGTGTGGGGTTGCAGCAAGCTGGGTCTGCAGGGCTCCGAGCTCCCTGTGGGCAAAGGCTGATGGGGGGGGGAGAAGAGGGAGAGGAGGCTGCCACGAAGCAGCCTCTGTCTGTGGTGGCACAGCAGCGACCCCTGTCCGTGGGGGGTCCCCATGAGCTCCCCACGGACAGAGGCTACTCCTCCTCCCACAAAGCAGCCTCTGTCCACAGCCAGCCCAAACTCACTGTGAAAAGAGGCTGTTCCATGGGTGGTAGAGCAGCTTCTGTCATGGGCTGTTGCCGGGGACCAGCTTCTATCCACAGCAGGCCCAAGCTGATAGAGGTAGCAGTGCAGGAGCGAGGGGGGAAGTGGCACCATGGAACAAGGCTGGAGGGAACCAGCTTTTAAGCCAGCTCCCCCCCAGCACTGGCTCTTGCTTCCCCTGCCCTGGCTGCCTCTGATACAGAGGCAGCGGGGGGAGGAGAAGAAATGCATGTACTTGACAAGATTAACCAATATGCCTAGGCTTATCAGTTAATCATATAGTTGACTACACATTTGCAAAGTAGTGGCTGCTAGAGATGTCAAGTCAGGTCTTATACATTTAACAATCTCCTACTACATGCTGACCTAACTTTTTCAAAAGTGTCTATATGAGTTCCAATGAGAATAAGGCTCCTAAGTCACTTAAATGTCTAGCAGTCCTTACTATTGCTGCTGGTCATTCATTTCACTGCTTTTGAAATTTGAACGACAAAGAATATAACATTTGCTTTTGGTTTACATTTCAATGGTATCTAACACCTGAAACCAATTAGTTCAATACATTTTAACAAAAATGTCACGATATTGTCTATAGGGTGAAATCCTGTGTTGTTTTCTATAACTGCTTACCATTAAGGCAACACACTTTCATATAAACACTGTGTGTGTGTGTGTGTGTGTGTGTGTGTGTGTCCGAGAGAGAGACACACACACACACACACACGCGCGCGCGTAAGTTAAGGCATGATCCAGCTACTTCAGACCTGCACCATATTTGAATTAAGATACTGGAAAAATGAATATAACAGAGATCAAATTTATTATATTTTGGTATGTTAGATGAGTCTGCCATTTACAAGGTCTCACCTGGCTGTAAAATATCAGATTCAGGAAATTCATCGAAATTGGAAGTGTCATCAATACTTTTGATTTCTATAGGGATTGCAGCTGGCCTCTCCCTGCACACAAACAATTAGATTAGTAATGAATAGTAAGAAAAGCTTCATTTAATTTCATAGCCTTTTAATTTAGCTTTTTTTATACAACAGGATGAAGAAAAAAAACTCTTGTAAACACAGTTGGTAAGAGTTTCAGCTGGTGTATAATGTTATAGCTCTACTGAACTAACAATTTACACAAGTTGAGGCTCTGACTGTAAAATGCCTCGCTAATTTCTGGTTTGATATCACAGGAAACTAACAATCAGTCTCTTTGAGTTAGTTTATATTAAAACAGTTCTTGTGAACTGAATTTGAATATGTCCTCTAAAGTTTGGCTTCCATGTGGGAAATATCTGTCTCCCTTTTGTTAAAAAAGGGCTCCAAACTGATTTCTAACCTATAGCTGCGTGATTCACTTAAATCAAGATTTGTAGTCAGGAACTGATGTCGCAGTTCCAACCTACTCATTCAGTCAAGTACTTACCTTGATAGGCTGGGTCATTCAACATGCAGCACTATGAACTCTACAGTTATTGTTCTGAATACCTTTTGTTTGTGATCGCTGCTGCTGACTATTTTACCAGTGTGCTTCCTCACTACCTCCCACAGAAAGATTTAATTCATACCATTAAACTAACAGAGCAGTAACAAAGTAACAAATACTTGTAAAAGGGAGATTTGTTAAAAAGAGCTTCCCAAGTGACTTGCCTTAACATTAAACAAAAAAACAAACAAACAAACCAACAAAAAAATCAAAAAAGCACACATCCATTCAAAATCCAATCATGGGTGTGAGAGAGACAGGAAATAGAGATAAGGTGGTAAAAGGCAAGGACACACTCCTCTCATAATGAACGCCTCATAATATCTTCTCATAATGAACATTCCCCCAGGAATTTAGCCATATCACTGGGGAATCTTGGAAGGGAAGAGAGGAGGCTATGTTATTGTGTTGCCAAATCCAGAAATTACAAATGTACTATTGTTCTTGCTGTCCACTGGTTCCCACCACACTGAATAGAATATGAGGGAGAGAGCATAAATGCAAATGAGCTGCAGGATTGGGTGGGAGTGACCATCAAGTCCCAAGGAGGAATGTGGGCTCTCACATACGAAGGTACAATATTTCTAAGAAACAGGTTTACCTTACATCCTTAAAGGACAATAGTAGCAGCAGTCCCTACTAATGTTAGTTTTAAACACAGGGACATCTCTTTTAACTCATAGCTACAACCTTTTTCCTTTTCATTCTCTTTCCTTGTGATTTCTCTGTAGGATTTTTTTCCCTCATTTTATTTTCTGTTTTTTTAATTTGTACCTTCTCCTTAAATGAGCTTATCAGAAGGCTACTTGCTACCTGAGGGCAGAGGTAAAAGTAAGCAGATAAGCCCAGTGCACAGCTCCGGCAAGCGCTGGCAGAGCTGCAGCAAAAGTCAGCAAGGAGCTATTTAAAGAGCTGGCAGGGACATACCTGTAAGAAATTTGAAGTTACTTTCACTACAGCCTGGGTGTGATCAATGGCTGCTCTCTGGGGATGGGCCCCATGTATTTTTCAAAGTCATGAGCTATCTCTCAGCCTATTACAACATGGGAAGCTGTTGGAGCAGGGGAAAAGGTGTGAGGCTGACAAGGTATGGACCACTGCTGCCAAGGGAACAGCTGGAGGCGGGGAAGTGCATGTCAGGAATCCTCTTTACCTAACACCATTGCATCACCGTGAATTCTTTCTAAGGCGGAGCATGCCTCTTCTGAGATCAAGGCGGGAATTGCTTGTTTTTTCCAGTGGCTACTCTTCAAAAATAACAAGCTAATTAAAACAAGTTATTCCTGTCTTTACAGCATATAAAATGGTTGCTCTCAAGATCTCCATCCAATAAATAAAGCACATGTAATATACCTGATATGCCCCCAGTCAACGCCTTCAAAAAAAGGATGATCCTTTATTTCCTCTACTCCATTACTACCAATTCTATTTTCAGAATCAATACAAAATCTGAAAGGGGGGGCGGGGAGAGAAAGAATATTACAGTCAATGCAAAAAGCAGCATATAAAATAAGCCATCATACTATCCTGTTGCAAAAATTTTATAAAGCCCTTTAAAATGGTTTAATCTTTGGATTGGTCAACATCCCAATGCACCTGCGGGGGGCAGGGGAAAAAAATCACAGAAACGTTGCCAGTCACATTATAAAGGCACAATATTACAATGGTAATAGGTCACATTTCCCTTCCCTCCTCACGCTTTTGTGAACAAGTTGCTGCCAGTGCTGGTCATTATTCCAAACCAGTAATAGGAAAGAATTTTGTTTTAGAATTCCCATTTTCTCCACATGGTTTGGTGTAGAAGTAGTAACTTGATTTTCAAGTGTCCATTTCTGCTAAGTACTCTCTCTTTGTAATCAACCTCCAAAACCTTATACTCCCACATTAAACAGCAGCATGTTTCAACAGCAAGAAGTCCGTGGTGCACTGAGAGTCAGCCTTCTAACACTGCTAGTTTAGCCAACAGACAATTGGAGAAACAAGTGCCTTGTCAAGTGCCTTGGCCATCCATAATAGAGAAAACAACAAGGCTCTGTTCTAATAAACAACCCAGCCCCTTTAGGTGCTGAGCCACCCACTGACCTAATGGGAGTTGAGTCCAGTCAGCAACTTGCAAATTGGGCTTTCAGTATGGTGCATGAAAATGTGCTGAACTCCCTGAAGCTCATTTGTGGACTGATAAGCTGTTTTTGTATACACTCGTCTACATTGGCATCCCGTTCCGGAAAAGGGATGCTAATGAGATGAGTCGGAATTGCAAATCCGTGGGGGATTTAAATATCCCCCGCGGCATTTGCATTTTCATGGCCGCCGCTTTTTTCCGGCTTGGGGATAAACTGGAGAAAAGCGCCAGTCTAGACACGATTCTCCGGAAAAAAAGCCCTTTTCCCAGAGGATTTCTTATTCCTACTTGAAAGTAGGAATAAGAAATCCTCCGAAAAAGGGCTTTTTTTCCCCGGAGAATCGCGTCTAGACTGGCGCTTTTCTCCGGCTTATCCCCAAGCCGGAAAAAAGCGGCAGCCATGTAAATGCAAATGCCGCGGGGGATATTTAAATCCCCCACGGATTTGCAATTCCGACTCATCTCATTAGCATCCCTTTTCCGGAACGGGATGCCAATGTAGACGTAGCCATGTTGTTTCTGAAAGTTGATTTGTTTAATTAGATTCCACTTCTACTCTCAAGTAGTCATCTGTTTCACACTAGAGCAGTTGACAATCTGTGCTCAGCAGCAATTGTTGTCCAGCAGAATAGAAAATTCTCTTGGTCATCTGAAGTAACAGAGTTAAAGGGGTGTATGTTCGGCAGTTGCCAACGTACTCAGAGCAATTTGTTTATCGGAATCAATATGGGTAACAGGCTATTTCTACATGATCACAACATCCAGATTCACAAAACATTTCACCTACCAAGCCTTCTCAGAAACAAAATCTCCTAGCCAGCACAAAGCAAGTTCTGACAGGCATTTCAGTAACGTGACAAGTCAGTCAGGTTATAAATTGACTAAGCCATACTCCCACAAGATGTAATATTTTTGCCTTACATTTGAATGGCACTTATTGAGGTTGAAATTATTTCCTATCTTTAAAAATATCAAAGCGCCTGCTGTGTTGTTTTGTTTGGCTCTGACTGTATGTGCTTTACTTGCTGGGTGCTGTTCATTTTTTCTAGTCTCCTGATAAATTAAAATGTTATTTTTAAAACATTCTGTCTCTGCTTCTGGAAACCAACATTCCAAGAGATTTGTAATTGCATTATTCCTATTCCCTCATGCAAAGCATTCAGATGTGATTTTGGAACAAATTATTGTGAGGTACAAATGAAAAACTGAAAAATTTACCAATAATGGATAAAATGCATAGGAGAAAAGGGCAAAGTGGGAGAGGCACCTGAAAGAGATTTAGACTTCTCTTTCAACCCAAAACTTTCTCTGCATGTAAAAGTAAAAGATGCTTTGATCTCTGACTGGATCACTGTGGAACACTGTTCATAATTTTTACGGTGCTTGTGACAGAAGATTGCTTCTAAAGTTATAGCCTTTGAAAAGTGACTGTAAGAAAGACTAATGCAGTCTATGAATCTAATGCTTTATAAGATTAAGTGTTATACTGTAAAATCTATTATCACTGTTCTTTTCCTTCTTCTTCATGATCTTCCCTTTATTCTAGCTCTCTCCCCATCTCTTATATTCTTTCAGGACCCAGTCCTAATGCAGACAAAATTTCCATTGAATGGGGATTCTATCTAGAGCTGTGAATGGTGAACCAGTTAACTGGTAAGCATCACACTTAATGGGTGATTCTTACTGGTTACGGTTAACTGGCAGGGGCTGGAGCAAGGGGCTATTCCAGGGGGCTAATCTGATGTGGGGAGGGTGGAAGGTGCTCCAGCCCAGCTACAACAGTCCCCGCCCACAATAGGCCAGGCCAGGCCAGAACAGGCGGTAGGGGCAGGAAAGGATGGTTCCAGCCCATATTGTCTGGAGTTCCCCCCCCTCCCCCAATCCGCTCCTAATTAAGCAGTTAATTAGTTATACATAAACTGATCAGTTAACTGATTAAACAGGAATTTATATCTCTAGTTCTGTCATCCTCAGCTTAACAGGATCAGGTCTTTAATACATATGCATTAGTGTAATTCAGGATTTCCATCCTTAGGGTCTATTCTTGCTCCCACCAACTTCACTGGAAGCTTTTCGTTAACTTCAGTGGTAGCAGAATCTGGCCAGCAAGCTGAATTTTCCATTTCTGTAAGATGCCTCAGGAAATGATCATATGGGGAGAAGGAGATGAGTTTAGCACCTTTCTACCATGCACAATGAGTTTCTCCACAAGGTGCAAAAGTAACGTAATGGAAGAGGATCCTGTCTATGGGTCTGAATGGCCACAGGAGTTTAGTTACCAACCTTAGAATTAAGTCCTTTGCTTTCTCTGAAATGGGCACCTCTGGAGGAAATATCAAAGTTTCTTTCCAGTTCATAACTTTCCTATACGTTTCTTGTGGTGTTTCAGAGCAGAAAGGTGGATATCCTATATAAAAATGGAAAAAAGCTTAATGAGCTTTTCCAGCATTAGAACACATGCCCAGGTCTGAGCCGACAAAGCTATTTCACTACCTCTCCCTGAAAAATTTCTGCAAGGAAATGTCAACAAAAATAGTCTCTCCTGGAAAACTATAAAATCAACTACTGGACCAAACTACAGTACTAAGGGAAGTTGTGCATTATCTATCTCAATGTCTTCAGAGTAAGGGTGGATTCCTTTCTGAAAGATCTACTTAGCTGAATACAAATTGTCAAGAAATATAATCTATGCTATCATGTGCCGAAAGTGTCCGTCTGCTATGTACATTGGACAAACATCTCAGACACTTCGCCAAAGGATTAATGCCCACAAAACAGATATCAGACAAGATCACAAAGAGAAAACAGTTTCTTGCCATTTTAACCAGAAAGGACACTCTCTCAATGACTTAACCACCTGCATTCTGCTACAAAGACCTTTTACATCTGCACTTGAAAGGGAATCCTCTGAACCGTCATTCATGTTAAAATTCGACACTTTCCAACAAGGACTTAAACATTTGAACTCTCACCCCCATTACCAAGATAGTTTCCCCAATTATCACCTCTAATACCATTAACTCACAAACATCCCACTCTCCCTACCTCTAATATCATCAATTCACAGACACTTCCCTTCCTTCCTCCCCCGCCCCTGCATCCCGCTCCTGTTCTGCAATGTGATTTGTCCTTTTCATATTTGTTCATTTTTTTTAAATTGTATCCTTTGGTATATATGGTTGTGACTACTTTCTTCCACTATTTGATCTGAGGAAGTGGGTCTGGCCCACGAAAGCTCATCATCTAATAAACCATCTTGTTAGCCTTTAAAGTGCTACATTGTCCTGCATTTTGCTACAAATTGTCAGGTTAGACTTAATAATAATAAAAAAAAAAAAGTAGATTAAATTTTACACCTCATATTAAAACAGGAGATCAGACTCAATCACGTAGTGGTCCCTTCTGACCTTGAAATCTATCTCCACATTGGTTACATACCTATTAGCATTTCATACATAATCACTCCCAAAGACCACCAGTCACACAACTTGTTATATCCAGTCTGCATAAATACTTCTGGGGCAATATAATCTGGGGTTCCAACAGTAGAGTATGCCTGGGGGGGAAAAACAGAAGGTGGGTGGACTCTTCATATGGGTTATACACTCACCATTTAGAGTTCTGTGAAAATCTTACTAGAATTACTGTATAAAGTACAATACTGGTATTTAGTGGGAAAAGGAGAAGAAATCTGATACATCATCACAACACATATAACCCAAAGAAATGGTTCATTTGGATATACAAGCATAGAACCAAGATAACTTTGAAGTGAGACTTTCAGAGTAGAGAGACTATACAGACTGAAATATCAATTATTTCTTAGATCAAATTAATTTATTCATTTTAGTCTACTGTATTACTAGTAAGTTACAAAAGAAGTTGGAAAAAAATGTATATTCAACATCTGACTCTCCTGAAACACTAAAACTGTTCTGCATATGGGCTTATTTGCATTACAGAATTAATTCAGGCATTTCCCCTAGCACGGCTCCTATTCACACACAAGAGAGTGTGGTTTACTGTAATAGGCTCGCTGGCCTATTCTAGGGTACTGGTTAAAACTAGAGCTGGTCAGGAATTTCCTGACAAATGGAAATTTTGAGTGCCACTCAATTCTACTTGCTAATGCTAATGACACTCAGGTAACCTGTCTATATTACTGTAAGAATGTCGGCTCAATCACCATTGCTAATAGTTCTCCAATGCTTTCCCACAATTCCCTCTTTGTGACCAGACAGACAAGTTCTCTTGTATTTCACTAGGAAATAGTCACAGAGGGTATGTCTAGGCTACATGCCTATGTCGCCAGAGGCATGTAAATTAGATTACCCGACGTAGTCAATGAAGCCGGGATTTAAATATCCCCGGTTTCATTAGAATAAAAATGGCCTCCACACTGTGCCGGCTCAGCTGGTCATTGGCACAGCACGGCAGTCAAGACATGGCGTAGTCAACAGGGAACACCTTAGCTGACTGCTCCCTTATGCCTCGTGAAACGAGGTTTACTGTAACAGTCGACAAAGGTGTTCCCTGTTGACTACGCCATGTCTTGACTGCCGTGCTGTGCCAATGACCAGCTGAGCCGGCACAGTGTGGAGGCCATTTTTATTCTAATGAAACCGGGGATATTTAAATCCCGGCTTCATTGACTACGTCGGGTAATCTAATTTACATGCCTCTGGTAACAGAGGCATGTAGTCTAGACATACCCAGAGTGTGTCATCTTACTACAGTGCCAAGAACCATGGGATGATATCTCAGAAGTGCTAGTACCTCACAAAAATGAGTGCAGTGCCAGAATTGATACAATCTAGTCACACTCAAGTGGCTTTACAATTTGGCTGCTCACACTCAATCCCACCTAGCAGCTCACACCCTACTGCCAATCATCCAAGTTAACTGTGCAGTGATGACACAATTTAAAGATTATAAAATAAACAAGTAAAAAGAGGTTTCGAAAAACAAAAGATTCTGATATTTTAAACCAGCTCAACAAGGAAGGTAAATTTCATCAAGAAATGCCGAAGTTAAAAATCAGAAAGCAACGTTTGCTTGGCAGTACAGCACACATGCTGTGTTTGTTATCATTTTTTCCTCTTTATAAATCTTTTCAAATACAAGACAGACATGTTTTTATTATTTTTTGCTGGTTTAATATATTCTAGTTTGTGACTTGCAAAGCAAACAATCAGTTGTACAACGTGGTTGAATTACACGGTACTCTTTTTGAATTTCCTCACTTATGCCCTGATCACACAAACACTTGCTGTTAGCATTAATTCTGTGTATTATAATAGCCCTCAGAAGACCCAACTGACGAAGGAGGGGCCTTCTGTGCTAGGTAATATAGTAAGAGGCAATCCCAGCCATAAAGAGTTTGCAGTTTAAATGGTTAGAAGGTTGGAGGGGAAACAAAAGCCCAAAGAAGTGAATTGACTTGACAGAAGGTCCTGGACAGAGCCAAGAAACAACAGTTACTTACCTCATAACTGTGGTTCTTCAAGATGTGTTGCTCATATCCATTCCATGTAGGTGTGTGTGTGCAGCGTGCACATGTCAGAAATGTTTCCCCCAGCAGTACCCATCGATCCAGCAGGGGAACCCCCTGGAGTAGTGCCACTATACTAGCCAATATATACCCCTGCTGGCCCTACACCCCCTTGGTTACTTCTTACTGGATCACTCGGAAGAAGGGAAGGTGGGCAGGATTTGAAATGGACATGAGCAACACATCTCGAAGAGCAACAGTTACAAGGTAAGTAACTGTTTGTTCGAGTGATTGCTCATGTCCATTCCACGTAGGTGACTCCAAAGCAGAAACCCAAGGAGGCGGGGTCGGAGTTCTACCTTCCACTGAATGGAGGACAGCCCTACCCAGGGTAGCATCCTCCCTTGCCTGATGTGTCAGCGTGTAGTGATATGTAACCCTAGTGGAGGATTTCCTACTACCCAACAGTATCTTCTGAACACAAGCCGAGCACTGAAGCTCTGCTGCTGTCAGCCACGAAGCTTCCATGCCCTGAGGTGCGGGGAGCACAGGTCCGGGTGTTGAAGCCTGCCGCAGTCCTGTGTAATCAGGTCCAGGACCAGCGGGAGAGCTATCGGCCTCTCGCATGACAGGGTCAGGCGGGTCGAGAATCAGTGCTGCCTGAGCCATGCTGGGGAAATGAGGATCAGCAACGCCCCAAATTCCCGCACCTGCAGGAGCACCCTGTGGACTAGTGGAAACAACAGGAATGCGTAGAGCAGACCACTGGCCAGGAGGTGACCAGTGCATCTCCCTGAAAGCCCTGGCCCCATGTGGGAGCAGAACCTTGGGCACTTCCTGTTTTGTCATGTGGCAAACAGGTCCAGAAGGGGAAAGCCCCACTTGTGGAAGATCCAGCGGGCCATGTCCACTTGTGTCTGGAGAAGGATCTGCTCAGCTGTTTCACCAGATTGTTCTGGGAGCCCAGGAAGTAGGAGGCCAGTGGGTGAACGTCTGCCCCGATGCAGAGATCCCACAGGTGAAAGGCTTGTCAACACAGGTGATTGGAATGGGCCCTGCCCTGCCTGTTGATGTCTGTGACTGCTGGTGTATTGTCGGACAGGATGAGTACTGACTTGCCCCCGAGTGAGGGAGGAAAGCCACGCAGGCAAGGTGGACCACCCGTAACTCCCTGACATTGATGTGCAGGGAGAGATCGTCCCTAGTCCACATATCTTGTGTCCATATGTCTCAGAGGTGGGCTCCTCAGCCTATGTCTGATGCAGCCGTCGCTAGCTGGAGGGTTGGAAGAGGCCTGGAGAATGGTACTCCGGTGCAGACCTGCTCCTCCCAGGTCCACCAAACCAGGGAGCAAAGGACCTCGGAGGGAACAGTCAGCACTCTGTCCCATGGATGAAAGGATGGGTTGTGAGTCTGCACCAGCCACATCTGCAGTTGGTGCATGCAGAGCCTGATGTGTTGGGTGATGTATGTGCATGCAGCCATTAGACCCAGAAGCCGCATGAAGTTCTGGTCGTGGTTATCAGGAACGTCTGCATGTCCCAAACAGCCGACCTGAACACTAGGAAGCGGGACCTGGGGAGGGATGGGGTAGAGGGATGGGAAGGAGGAGCAAGATGATAAGGGCTGATATAGCCTCTGCCACCATTTCTAGGACCCAGCAGTCGGCAGAAAGGGAATAGGCGATCCCAGAAAGGGAAGGGTAAGTCTGGTAAGCTGTCCTCAGGCCTACCCTGAAAAAAAAACTCTGGATGGGGCCCCGAGGACTTGTTAGGCAGGCCCTGTCCCTGATTCTGGGCCGGTCGGGGATGGCACCTGCCGTTCCTCCCATTACCATTACGTACTCCCTGCTGGTAAGGCCTGGGGGCATTCATGCCTGAGAAGGATTGCCATTGGGTAGTTGGGGTGTGGATACCCAAGGACTTGAACATGGCCTGGGTGTCCTTGAGACTGTGCAGACGTTGGTCTGTCTGCTCAGAGAACAGAGATGAGCCCTCACAGGAGAGGTCCTGAATCGTATTTTGGAGCTCCGAAGACACCCTGGACCTTTGCAGCCAGGAGTTGTGGTGTGACACCAATCCCCTAGCCACGGCGTGTGCAGCTGCATTGAGGGCAGCCTGGAGCACAACCTTAGAAATCGCTCTGCCTTCTTCCGAGAGGGCTCTAAACGCGGGCCGAGAATGTCTGGAGAGCAGTCAGGTAAACTTGTCCATGGGGCCCAAGTGTTGTAGGTGTAGCGGAACAGCAGAACCTGCTGGTTTGATATGTGAAATTGGAGGCCTCCGGATGCACAGGCCTTCCTTCCTTACAGGTCCATCTTTCTGGCACCCTGTTCTTAGGGGTGGTACCCTGCCTCTCCCTCTCCCTCTCCTTCACTGCCTGGACAACCAGCAACCCCGGACGTGGATGAGAGAAAAGATATTCGCTCCCCTCCTGGGAAATGAAATACTGCCGCTCAGCCTTCTTTTCCATTGGTGGAATAGAGGCCAGGGTTTGTCAGAGGGACTTGGAGATGTTGGCCACTGTTTTATTGATGGGGAGGGCCACTCTGGTAGGGATGTCAGACTATAGGATGTCAGAGTCCTCTGACACCCTCTCAGCCTGGACCCCCAGGAGGAGGTCCTGGTTTGCCCTCAAATCCATTGAGGGCACAGAGGGGAGAGGGTTGCCCAGAGCCTCATCTGGAGAGGAAGATGAGGACCCCTTCAGGCCTGTCTCCACAAGGACTGTGGCCTGCGAGGGGGCTTGAGAGGCTGAACTACGGGGCCCTTGGTCTCTGAAGGACGTGGGGAGATCTGCCCTGGCGGGAGCAACTGCTCCAACGTAGGAGACCGAGTCAGTGGGGTGACAAAGGAGGTGCTTTGGACCCAGAGAAGACCAGCTACAGTCTAGAAGGACCCACACCATCGCGCTGACAGTAGGTTCATGGGGTCCAAATCGGCCACTGAGATGGAGCTGGTGCCAGTAGAGACCATGACAGCTACATCCCCAGTACGGGACCAGCTGTGCCCACTGGTGCTGTTGCTGATGGGCAAAGGTACTGCAGGTGCCGTGATCGGTGACAGGAGTAGGACCGGTGCCGAGACCGGGATCTGGATCCCCTTGATGACCACATGGACTCCGCTTCAGAGTCGGTTGAATACTCCAAAGCTGACCAGGGTGGAGCGGAGGCAGCCGCAGCTGGTGACCCTGCTTTCGGGTCATCAGTTCTGGCTTGCCCCAGTGCAGACGAGGGGGAGAAGAAAGAGGCATGGCTGGCCCCGGGCCTGGTGAGCTCTGGGCAGGCCAGAGGTCATGGCGGCCGGTGCTGCATTCACTGCCGCTTGTCCTGGTGCTGGGTCCGGTGCGGAGGCCAGGGTTGAGGTTGCTGCAGTTGGCGCAGTGTCACTGTTTCCTTGGTTCTGGTGCTGGGGCGCTGGGTGCCTTAGCCTCCAATTGGTGCCGACTGGAGTCCCAATCCTTGCCTGAGGCTGGTGCCAAAGTAGGAGAGGGGGACAGTTTAAGCCCCAGCAGCCTCGAAGGCCTCCGGAGTCAAAGGCTCTGGGAAGTCCCCCAAGGGACTGGTGTCCCAGTGCAGACTGAGTCATTTGTCTGACCGCGATGGTCCAGGCTCGGCGCCTGAAGATGCAACATGTCCCACTTGTGGGCACATGCCATGGAAGTGACCTGTCCTTGCTAGGCCTTCCTTTTTTCTGAGGCACCGGGGACTCGGAGCAGTGCCAGGGTCTGCATGGTGTCAGTGAGGCACGTAAATAGCTTGATGCCTCCTGCACCGAGGCTGGTGCGCTGTGGGTCACCGGTGCTGGGTTGGACGCCATGCAGGCCACAAAGCCACCTCCATTAGGATGATCTTGAGGCGTGACTCTCTCCCACCTCATGCGCGGCTTTAATGCCTTACAGATTTTACAGGCCTCGGACAAATGGGCCTTGCCCAGGCACTTAAGGCGGGCAGAGTGCGGATCGCCACAGGGCATAGGCCTCTAGCACTTGTCACAGGGCTTGAAGCCTTGCAACCAGAGCATTCCCCACCACACATGCCAGGTGCATGGAGCAGGAACCACGGTGAGTTCTTAACTCAGGAAACACCACTTAACAACTACTTAAAGAAAAACTGATAAGAACCATAACTATGATATTAGAACACAGAAATTTAATGCTGAGTAACTGCAAAAGGGCACTTGCTAAGCAAGAGCAGAAGCATGTTCCAACAACCGTCACAGGCAGTAAGAAGAAATTGAGGGAATGGTTGGCCAGCAGGGGTATGCATTGGCTGGTATAGGGGCACCATTCCAGGGGGCTCCCCTGATGACTTGACAGGTACTGTTAGGGGAAAAATTTCCCACCATGAGTGCACGCTGCAACACACCCCCCCAATATGGAATGGATATGAGCTATCACTCGAAGAACACGTGCTACAAGCGGTGGGTCTCCATGGCTTCATGCTATGCACATTGATACCACCTGAAGATCTGCCCCCAGGTATTGTGACTGCATTTGTTGTCTTCACCACTAAATCACACTGCCCCTTGACTACAGTGGGAGTTCTCACACTTAAAGCTAAGTACATTCATGTGAGCATGGCCTTTGAGGACTTTGTCAGTAACTTGAACATTTTAAAAACTGTGAATTTTTAAGATCTGTCTCACATTTGTTTCTACAAATATTAAATATGTTCCACTATAAAAAGTGACTCACCAGCTGACGCCTGTTCTTCTTCCATGTTTCTGCTTTTCTTTTTGAGTTCATATTCTGAAATGCTTATTTACAAAATAGAGTTATTAGACACTATATAGATTTGTGAAAGAGTACAAGAAAGAAAGAAAAATCAGCCTGATTGATAATGTCAATTTACAAAATAATCTTTTTGTACCTCTGAAATGCTATATAAACAGGGTTTTTTGAGGTGTGGGGGGGGGAGGGGGGGAACCGAATTGGACTAGGAAAAGGAAATGTAAAACAATTCTAAGTTGCCAGGATGAAGAATGCAACAGTAACAATAATGATGTTAATGATAATGATCCACTGAGAAATCCTTAAATCACTGTTAACTAACCAAAGTTCAACACCTTTATGATGGGCCTGGTTGTGTGTGTGTGTGTGTGTGTGTGTGTAAAACACACACACACACACACACTTGCAGAATAAAGTTAGAAGTGAAAAATAAGGCATTTGAATTAAAGCACAGAGAGAATTTAGATCAGTAGCATATAATTATCTACCACTGAAATGTAACCATGATAAACAGGTTGACACCCTTACAATTATGAAAAAGTGGCATGAGAGCATTACTTATTCCAAGTGATGAGGACATTCTAGCTGAAAGACTATTTCCAGCAGCACAGAAAAAGGTCCTTTAACATTAGGGGGAATGAGTTCAATTCAGAAAAGTGCCACCTACAGAATCACCAACACCATCTCCTTCCTGTAATTCTTAGCTGTTCTGTGGACTGTTCTCCAATTCAAAACACAACTCAACCCAACCCAGTCTTGCTTAGTCCCTGAATCCTAACAGATTTAAGATTACAGTGTGGAATGGCTTCAGTCCAAAAGTCGTTGAATAGTTTGACTAGAATACTTACAAAAGTCACTTGGTGGATTGTGCGTAAGGTTCCTATAGAATTCAGTTCGATGAGCTTTCTTTAAACCAGTACATAGTCCAAAATCAGATAGCTTCACATGACCCTACAGAATCAGAGAAGATAAAAACTTCATTGAGAAAGTTGAGCCTTAGAGGGAGCACACAATTTAACATTACCTGCTCCCTTCAGAAATGAGTAAACTACAGAATTATGCAGGATTAATTCTAGAGGGCATCATAACTAAATCTTTATACATCAAGAAAACATGATTTTTTTTCTTGCCTCCGCTTTGTAATGAATGAACTATGCTAATTTATTCCAAAGAATTTTGTTTATTTGATTCTTAGAGTCAGAGGGGGGAAAATGGAAAAGTACAGTACTGTTTACTAGGAAGTCTCAACTAGGATGAAAATATACTTTTAAAAATAATATTTTTATCAGTTTTATAGCTAGATTTAGAAAGATATGTAGTGATCAACAAACTCACTTTAGGGATAGTTTAGTTTAGTTTCTTGGCTCTCAAAATTTTCTTCTAGCCAATAGACTGGTCTTCTGATCAGTTAACAGATAAAAAGCCAAATGAGATAACTGCATCATGTTCTACAATGTTCATTTTAAAGAAAAACTGAACACTTATTAGCACTGGCTATGTGTTTTGCACTTTATGTTTTTTGTAAAATAAAAGCAACAGCTGAGGTATGTGCAGCTTAAGGCTACAGTCTGCAAGTATATGGACATTGTGGATGTGTCTTTTCCAGCTTCTAAGAAGATGCACATTGAAAACACTTTCAGTAAAGTAAAACAATGTAGTACTACTTTTACTATGCTAATTATGCAGATGTTCTAAATGATAAAACGTAGGTAGCAGATTCTGACTTCACTTCCACTAGTTTAAACCCTGGCCTAATGCTGTTAGTTTCAATGGTGTTACTTCGGAT